TCTTGAGTCCATTTGGAGACAGTTGTGTTCTCAAATCCTATCTTGAAAACTTTAAAATCCTCTCAAAATAAGAAAGTTTTTTATAATATCCCAGAGAATTTGGAAATCTATAAATAATAGTGTATCCCACATGTAGAATTAATTTCAGCAAAATATCCCAGACCTAAGTGCTTTAAACTGACAGATGTTATTAGGCTTCACAGTGTTGCACAATTCAACTGTTTCAAAGCTTTTCTGAAAAATTTGTGCCATGGAAAAACATATAGAATGTTTCAAAATGTAAACTAAACTAAGTCCTAATGTCTATTCGCACAACAGCAAGAAAACAAACAGGTTTTAGTTAATTTGAAAAAGGGCAGTAGCTATGGAGACAGAAAGGTAGATCTAGAGCTACTTCAGGATCAGATATACTTAGCCAAGCTCAGAGTAGGCTTTTCTGAACTGCATTTGCACCACTTGCAGAGAAAGAGCACACACCCTTTATCTCTTAGGGAAATAACCTTATCTGGTTTCTCTCTGGCGTGTTTATTAGTTGCTTCTTTCCTTAGAATCTGTATTTTAGATTAAATGACTTGTTCAAGTCTTTCTGCCATAAGATGCCCCAAATACTTCATGTCTGCTCTCCCTCCGCTTAGTGATTAATAACATCCCCTGACCTGTGTGCCAAAATATGCATGCCAAGATCCAGGACTTTTTGAGGTTAACAGGATCTTGTTGTGCTGACAAATGGTATTGTAGCACTAGCAGTCAACACACTCATGCAATCTTTCTCCTGTTTTGGTGTACTTTAAGGGAGCAGGAACATGTACGCTGGGGTGTGCTTTCAAAGGCATGGAGCTCACCCAGAGTCTTCTGAGAATTTCACAAACTAAGGCTTTGCAGTCTGTGGCCATCGCTGATTTTCAGCCATTTCTCAGAAGAAGCATGCTGATGACTGCATGGGAGGGGTCGTGCAAATCAAATGACAGTCTGGGCACGGAAGCAGGCAATTAAGCAAAGATACACACATTAGCATCCTGCTGTAGTAAATGGGAAAAAAAAGAGGTTTCCACAATTCAGGATGGAATACATCATGCGCTGGAGTTCATTTTTCTCTTCAGTTACTATAGAAGGAATATAGAAGGAGTATAGATGAGTAGATCAAATTGGAGGCTTCATTTTTGTGTGACTGACACTGGGTAATGTGAGTTCCATCCTGAATGACAATGTTGTAAATTTATTACTGATCTGCAGTGATATATCTGGAGAGTGATTTGGGTAGAATTAAATATGGGAGATGTCAATGACATCTTGAAGTAGAATATGGATATCAAATAAATTGCTCCTTGTGATGAGGGCTGAGATGGCTGCCATAAAATAAAAATAAAATGTAGAGAATCTCAATTTTCTTCAGTCTTTGTCGCATATCAGTTAAAAAGGTATCCTGCTTGCTGCTGAACTAGAAGTCATGGAGAGAAACAAGGAAGCCCAAATGATAAGTCTGAAGCATTACTTTGCCATATACCATGGCCTTTTTCTTATTTTCCTACTGTACAACTTAGGGCAGAAAACAGATGAAAGAAAAGCCCTTTGAGAGATACCAGTAAATTCAAAGGTTTCCTTTAGAGTTATACTTGCAAGAATTTCATCTTAGGGCTGAATTTTGCTGTATTCCTTTAGAGTGAAGGCTTTTCAGCTTTCATAACAGAAATATATAGTTTTGAGGTACTGTGTAGTTCAGTCTTGGAGATGGCATGAAACATGGATAAACAGGATAATGAAAATTTTGTGAAGGCAGAGGTATTTACTGTAGTACCTGATAACTTCCAGTTCAAGGTCCATTCCCATCCTGAATCTTGACTTCATGCTAGGATGAGACTTAAGAAACCACCTCCTTATATTTTTAATGCTCCTATGGAAATACAGCCTGGGTGTGCAGGAAGCTAAGATGTGCTCTGTTAAGTATAGGCTGAGGAGTACATATAGAACTTAGTCTGACTTTTCTCTTTAAGAAACCATTTCCTTGGAGATCAAGGCATACCATATAGTTAAATCTTGGGTTACAGCAGAAACTGCCATAACTAGTGCATTATAATGGTCCATGTTTGATAGTATTGAATGTGGGTACTTGAAGAAGCACAAGAAGCCCTGTGAGCTACTTATGAAGTGTCAGGGACATACAGCAGTCTACTTTCTAGCGTTTTTATTACGAGATTTTACATGGTAAAACACAAGGGTTATATTCTTTATCACTGTGTTTGCTGAAGCATCTATGAAAATCCTTACTGTCTGTAGATCCGTTTGATTGCTTTAAAAAACTTGCAAAATTCTTTTTTATCTGAGTAAGACCTTGTTGTCAGTAAGTTTCTCAGATTTCCCTCTTTCCTAATCCATAAGAATGGTGATGTCATTTTTTTCTCTTGCTCTCTCACCCTCCACCACTGTGGAGAGCCCGCCTCAATCTCCTCCCGTGCCCTGAAACCATCTCTGCTCCAGGCCTGACAAGCTCAGCTCTCCCAACCTCTTCTCTCAGGTGCTCTAGCTGCCACCGTCTTGCTGGCCCCTTCTGAGCTGGATCCAGTTTATCAATCTCTGTCTTGTACTGAGGGGCCCAAAACTGTGTGTGGTATCTAAGTCTAATGAGTGCTGAGTAGGGGATGATAAGCACTTCCCCTGATGTCTTTTCCTACAGCCTGGCTATCATTGGCTGTCTTTGTTCCCAAGACTCATTGCTGACCCATGCACCATTTGCTGCCCACCAGGATCTTTCCCAAAGAGCTGCCCCTCAGGAAGTTGGCTGTATCAGTTCCAGAGAAATTCTTTCCCATGGACAGGACTTTGCACATGTCCTTATTGAATTTCATGAGCTTCCAATTCATCCCGCCTCTCCATGTCCCTCAGGATGGCAGCCCTGCCCTGGAACAAATTGACTGGTCCCCCCATTTTAGTCAACTGTACGCTGATGAAGGTGCAAATAATGTTATTATCAGAGAAAGAAGCACAGATTTTGTTATAAAGGGCAGATATATCTAAAAATTCTAGATAGTTTTTTTTACGTATTTGTATTTTGAAAAGTGTTAACTTACTACTCAGTACACATTGCATGCACCTAGAACAATATGTCTGTATTTGGGTAGGAGAGCAGAAACATGGATAGGCAACAGGCAAAAGCAGAGGCAGGTTAAGATGGAAAATAACACTCTTCAGTGCAGGTAAAAAACCCCAAACCAACACACCCAAACCAGGAAAGTTATTTTTCTCAGAGACAAAAGTTAAGTGAGGAAGGCAAAGAGCATTAAACTACAATTACATAAACTGTTACCCATTTCCCTGCTGCTTATTTCTTCTTTTTTTTTCACTCTCAAGCTCTTTGGGAGGAAACTGATATAATTGCAACTGGTGTTTGTTATTATTTCAATATTGTAAAATGAAGTTTTATATCCTCACAGCAGTAGGATGGTTTCAGGCTCTGATCACTTATTCATAAGTGATCAGAAACAGTTTAGTAATCATCTTCTCTTCAGCTAAATATAGCATATACACTTTATACAGTGCCTGTAAACTGGGTGTGGAATGTAGAGAAATTGTTTAATATTCCAAGTTTTCTTGCCAACCTAAAATTACAATGATTATGACCACATACTTACTTAAGCAGAAATAAATATTTCTGGTGATTAATATAACAGAAATGGGTGAGACTGCAAGCAGGATTTGATGCATAGGGAACCACAGCTGAATTGGAGGAAACATCTGTTGCTCTATGAAAAGGAGGGTAAGAAATCAAGATGTGGCTGAAGAATATCTATATCTGATTACTCTGTCTAAAGTTTATGTGTATGATACATTTATATACATAATCTATATTTGTCAGTGGAATAAACAAAAAAAAATAAAATTGAGCATCATAATATATTTTTCCTCAAACATGTACGACTGAAAAGCTTCCTTTTCTCAAGGAAGAACATTCTTGAACAAAGGATAGTCATGCAATTCATACATATTTACTTTCCAAAGTAATCTTGTATTCACTTGATCATCTGTGTATAACATGAAGGCACCCAGGAATGTATAGAACATAGTTCTTTCTCCTCAATTGAAAGCCAGATTAGTTATGTAGTTAACTCAAACTAATTCTTGAGGTCTGGCTGGGCATGTGTTAATGTTACAGATGTATGGGCAAGCAGACTGCACAACACAATGCTGTCAATAAAGCTTGAGGGCCTCAAGATTTCTCAGACTGCCTTTATCCAGAGCCAGAGTGCTTCTGCAATTCATTCTGCTCCTGCTTCCTCTTGAGGGACAGCTTTCTTTAAAGAAAATCAAGGATAAGAGAGAGGTAAGGCCTATCTGACGAGACTGGAGAGATCAGTCTGCTAACTTCATGCCCTTCATGTAGGGAATTCAGAGTCAGATAGCCTGTATAGTAGAGAGGGACATCAATTCTTATTTGAAAATAACAGAGAAAGGTGCAGTCAAAAGTCTGTAACAATAGCATCTATTTGTAAATTATCCCTACAGCAGGAAGAGCTACCCACTAATGAGAAGTTATATACTCTTCAGTGTTTTTTATGGTGATGTTTTGCTTTTTCTAATTATCTTCCTGATATAATTTTCTAGCACAGCAAATACTAATTATGAATTATAATTATGTAGCACTATTCTTACCCAACCGCAAGCTCAGCCAAGATAGTGTGAAACAAAGCTGCAAGCAATCTCTCATTTAGGAAAAGACAGTTTTCTGTGTTACTGCTATGGAAAAATGTTGTAGTATCTCAGCTGATGATATACACAGATCTAGATTATCTTCTTTGGTTATAATGGTGACAAACCACTATGCAATTGCAAGTCAGGTTTTGACTGCACCTGTTTGCAAACTCAGGTAATTATGATCCGTTTTCTAATTGCTTATTTATGTATATTTTGCTCACATGTTTTAAGCAATGCTATTTGATTGCAACCCTAATGGTAGGGTTCCCTTCTCATTATCATGCTTTAACTTTTGATTTGTCTAATTGCTGCAGGTGGAAACAATAGGCGATGCATACTGTGTTGCAGCAGGGCTCCATAAGAAAAGCCTTAGTCATGCTAAAGCCATTGCCCTGATGGCATTGAAGATGATGGAGCTTTCAGAAGAGGTTCTCACTCCAGATGGAAGCCCTATTAAGGTAACCTCTTTGCTCTTTATTCTCAGGTAGTCAGTGATACATGGACCTGATTCATTACATCGTGTTCTGTCAGTAGTAACTAGGAGAATTTCCAATTGCATCAATATGTCACAGTCTTTTTTTGTGTACATGTATTTCACTGGTGCTCATCAACAATCACATAAGCTATGCCCTATTTTAGCAAGCACAATAGACCACATGGACAAGCTGTTGCCTTGTCGTATGTGTTGAATGCCTATTTGTGGCTGAAGGGAAGTCCTGGAGCCTTTCTTGCCATTCAGTATCGTGTGAGAAGATGACGATTCCGTTCCCATGCTACAAGCAAAGCACAGTATGCAATGGCAACAAAGATATTCGCTTCAGGAGTAAGCACCTGATCTGAACTTCAGCAGTAGTGTAGTGACTCTCAGAAAGTTCTGCAGCTTTGAGGGGCCACATGCCTCTTTTCTTTAGTTGTAGACCTGCATAAAAGATGAATGTGTAGACTGTCTGTTCTTTCTCAGTGTTAATTTGCTTCCTTCCTGTGCTACTCCAGTTACTTTCCCTAAGTTTGGTATGGAGGTAGCAGGAGGAGGAAAAACAGATGTCCTTTTATACCATTTTAAAATTCCACTGCTGTTCTGCTTCCTTTGATCCTATACTAGCTTTGTAGCTGCTGGTGTTTGGAATTGGTAATGTTTAGGTAGGAGAGAGGGAGATGTAGCAAGGAAGAAAAATCATGGAGATAGACATGTACCTTTCTTTTCCAAGTGTCAGATTATATATTGTTTTCATTTTGTGTATTCACTCCTATTTTTGGTTAAATTGTTCTTCCCATAATACAAGCCTTCTGTTTTCCAAGAGAATGAGAGTATTATGAGAGTATTATGTACTATGTAGAACAGTATTCAACACTGTCTAAAGCCTTTAACGAAAGCTATATGTGGCTGGATGAGAAGGCCAGACAGACTTCCCATGGGATGATTTATATCATGGTTGAGATTAACTTTGTAAACTGCAGTTCCTTTAGTCTGTTAAAAATGAAGGTTACATCAAAAATGTGTCCTTTTTTCCCCCCATGAAATGGAAAGACAGTTTTGAAGGTTTAAAACTTGACAGAAAAGTGATAACTCTTTAAAAAAATGTGTTCAGAGGTGTTGTTAAGATGTTTCTTGAGCAAGAAAATTGTATACCTATGAGTTCCAAATCTTCCTGATTTATTAGTTAGGTCATATCTTGAACTATATTCCTTGAACTCTTTGTGTATGGTGAATCAAGAGAGATTTAATCCAAATGATTTGTTCTGCACAGAAAGGAAAGTATGGATGCAAGGCAACCAAACGAAGCAATTTCATGAAATATGGCAACACGATATTCAAATAAATAGGTATAGAGTTCTGGATAAAATATTTTTAAGTATTAATGATGCTTATGAATTTTTTAAAATGTCACAATAAAATATTTGAGTGTTGAAAAATGTCCACATATTCAAAAGAATAGCTTTCTGAAAAAATATGTTGGACTATGGATCTTGAAGAAAAATGGTTTTAAAGCATTAAAAGACAGAGTAAGCATTAAAAGACAAATTTTTTCTGAGGATACTAGAAGATGTAGCATTTTCAGTTTTGATAAAAGACTATTTCAAACAAGTATTAATTTAATCCTATTAAAATATATTTTCTTGATTGATTTTATTTCTCTATTTTTCCAGTAACTATGGACGATTAACATGTGCTAGCTACACTGTCACATGCTGGGAGAGTGGTCTTCCAGGTTGTCTTTATCTTTTCACTTTCTCTTGAGTACTTGCTGCAATTGTAAGGAAATTTTGAAGGTGTTTTATTCTGACTCACATTTTGTGACCATTTTCATTACCACTCTTTATTTTTCAGAAAATTCCTCATGTTTTCACTGGCTGTGTAAGAGAATCTGTAAAGACAATGCAGCGGAAAAATGCTTGCATAGAATAAAATGCAAGGAATAACCAAATATTTTCAAAAAGTGCTAGTAAATCTCCTTTAGAACTCAGAAGAAAAAAGTGAATTCATCATACTTAAACTGAAAGTAGGGGTACTGAGAAACTCGTCAGCAGTTCTTGGTTGTCCTGGCTTCAGTTTTAGATGTAAGGGATTTCAGGGCAGGAGGAATGGTAATATTGTAGAATGTTGCTGTTACCTTTGTATGTAACCTAGAAATTGTGTTTAAAAATAAGGCTTATCTTTCACAGAGGCATTTGGATTTGATTTTAAATATAGTGAGATAAGGATTCCTCTCACATGGTTATTTACCCTGTAAAACTATTGAAATAAGGATTTTTGGAGAAGTCTACTTTGTCCTAGTTCAGGTGTCTACTCTAGGATGAGGTGAATCACACCCTAAAAATGCGTATTTTTTTCAGTTGTCTGTAAGGGAAATCTATGGTCTTAGCTTAACTGTGGATGTCTACTCTGTATGATTCTATACGCTGTCAAATGAGTCCTCCTACAAATGGCGAAGAACATATAGTTTTTCCTAGTGGCTATGTCAATGATCAAAACAGTTAAAAACATATATGTTATTTCTAAATTCAGTTCATGTGACTTTTGCCTTCTGGCCAATGTTAAATTGGCCAGAGTGATCCCTATTTTTGTTTGCTGACAGTTTTTCACTTTAAAAACCATGAAGGGTTCCGTTGTGTCACAAATTCCCATTACATCAAATGCTGCACGTGCATAAAAATGTCTTAAAGCGGTGTCAGGGGAAGTTCAGATTGGATATAAGGAAAATGTGGTTAAGCATTTGAACAAGCTCCCCAGGAAAGTGAGCATGGTCCCAAGCCATACATGTTTAAGAGTTTAGACAATGCTCTTAAATACATGGTTTAACTTTTAGGTTGCCCTACGTGAAGTCAGAAGTTGGACTTACCTGAAGTTTAAGAAACCCCTAAGTATCTGTAAAAGATATTATGGACTCAGGTCAGAACCATTAATAGGATACTTACTGCATGACACACTTTACAATTAAACCTTGTCATTAAAATATTGAAATATTAATTTATATTAAAATCACAGTAAACAATGTGGTCTATAAGATATTTATAAGTGGCCTGACTTTTAAACAGTGAACTATATTGTACTATAATGTGGTTACTTTGAGATGGTCCTGTTGCTACAGATGGCAAAACAAATGCAGGGGTTTAACTATATTTTGACCTTAATTTTTATCTGTGATTCATATTAATGAGTACAAGTCACACTTTCTGAGTCCTTGACAAGTGTGTTGGATAAAGAATCCTAATGCATCTTTTATTTCGTTATACTGAAAAACCTACATCAGTATTTGGATATTTGAAAAGAACTTGAAATCAGAGGGCAGTTTTCCTCATGCCCAATTCTTAATAACTTTGACAGCTTTCATGAGTTGCTGTGACTAAATTCTGACTTTATTCCTCAGGATAGTCTAGAAGCCATTTTGAAGGGGACAAGTGCTTCACTGAGACAATTTTTCAAAACGTAATTCCTAAAAATAAGGGACCTCCTGATCTCAGGAATAAACAACACTGTTCTGTTCTGTTACTGATGGTTGCTCAATTAGATATGTCTACCTTTTATGATTATGGTTTATGGAATATATTTATTTTCTCAATTACTTTGATGAATATATTTTGTTGTTATCTAAGGACTGAATTCACTAGAATGCAAGTGTTTATTTTTTGTAGTGCTTGAAATGTTCATTCATGTGATAGCAGTGGATCTTAAGTGACAAAGTCTCAGAAAGATAGGATAAAAAAGTAAATAAATGAATTAAAAAATGCCATATCACATAAGAAGGAATTTAGGATAAGATTTTCACCTATAAAAGTGCATTAGCAGATAACCAAATAAAGATTGTTATCTGGGTACACAGTTATCATGTGAAAGTATTCATTGTATTGATCACAATAGTAAATTTTTTGTACAGTCATGTACACTTTATGAAAAATCTGCCCTTCAGAGCAATGCTTGTGTGGTCAGCAAACAGTGATGGACCTCAGGATGGTGACTAGGTCTATGAAATAGGTCTGGTTTATATCCAGATGATGCTCCTGCTTCTGAGTCAGAGCTCATAGCATGCTGATGAGAGCACCATGGTGTGCAGCTGACACATGCTCAGACATTCACCACTCCCAGCAGAGCTGAAGGCAGCAGAAATGCATGAGAAGAATGGAGACCCTGACCCTGCACTTCTCATACCTGCCTGAAAAGCCTGTGATTTGAAGGGTAGTGAGAAACTGTTGTTTTGGAGAAAGAGAGAGCAAGCTGTATTATAGCAGCACCCACAAATCCTGTTATCAGTGTTGTAAGAAAGAAATATTGGTAACAGAAAATGGGCTGATTATTCCCCTGTGGGTGATGGAGAAGGCTTCGGGCACGTGTATGATTTTTTTTTTTAAACTCAGTTCTACTTGAGGCAAAATGCCGTTATTTTAGAATGAGCTAAGGCCTTAGCACAAAAGAAGAACTTCTGCCACAGACACTGCGTGTAGAATTGGATATGCGTTTTTAGCCTTTCAGTAAAACATTTTGCTCTGGAAGCACTCCTTTGATATAGGTTCTGTACAAGAAATTATATGTAGTGCTCTATGATGGTAGTCTGAAAATATTGATTTAAAATTATTTCCTACATGTAAGTGAGTTTTACTTGAATTTAGAATATGCTTCATATTTTACTACTCTTTTTTTTTTTTTTAGATTAAGTGGAATTACATGAATTTTAATAGCTAGAGATAATGCTGTATGGAAAATTCTCTATGGCATTGACCTTCAGTGAAAAGTTGCAATGCAGTTCTCATTTGATGTGTTAAAACCCATAGAATATTATCGCTGAGATCACTTTTTGTCATGCTTCAAATCTTGCCTGATAATTTAATTGTTAAAAAGGGCTGCTCTGGCAGAACATACCTGTTTTTGACTGATGAGATTTTTCCAAGAGAATATTATCTGCTTATTTTTGTGGTGTATGAAGGTGGTCCTATCAGGGTTGTGAAGAGATACAGAACTGGG